CACCTTCTGGGTTCTCAAGGTTTGTTCCCATGCATTTTCTGTTATATATTTCAAATGACTCTTCCAAACCGTTGCACTACTATGGAAAAACCCTAAACTTTGAGGAATAGGAAGGATGCAGAAGAAGATGGTGCTAGTAATTAATGCTGTCTTCTTTAAGCAACATCCTTCATGAATTCTGTAATATGCACGAGTTACGGAAACAAAATGTCAAATACAATATTAGAGATGTGAACCGGAGTTTTGTTTTGAAGAGTGATTTTAGATAGTCACAAACAACTCACCAACAAGGGGTTTGTGTGTTTTGAAGAGCTCACTTCCTCAACCTATCTCGGGTTGGTTCGATTTCTTTGTCATCGCAAGTAATATAACAATGAATTTATAATATTATGGCCAAAAAGAAACGATTGTATGGAGAATTTTGTTACTCTTTAACCAGCTCTTCCATGTGTTATTTTCTACAAAAAAAACTCTTAATTAACACAAGGAAACATTCAATAAAAAAATGCTTACAAACCAAATAATTTCTTGGTCGAATATATTAACGGTTAAATTTAAGAAATTAAACACAAACAGAACAACAAAAAAATCGTTGCCACAACATTTTTGAAATTGGTCTACGAAACACAGAACATGTACCATTCACCAAACGAACCATAAATTAGTGTGATGATATAAAACTCTTTAGTTCTTCTTGCCTCGACCACACTTGACTTGCACGGCAAGTGTCTTCACAACATTCTTGCATGAATCTTTCTTGTCTTGTTCGAAAGTGCTCTTGTTCACTGGAATCACACATGTTGCTTTCCCCAAACAAGCCTGCAACAATTTTGTGTTTTTTTTTTGGTTAGTTACTTGTATCACAAGCTACACATTATACAAAAAAGAAAAGAATAAACAATATTTTGATCTCTTACCTTTTCAATGACTTGCTTTGAAACAGGAGCATTACAAGTACCAAGTGTGAAGTTTCCACAAACACCAATAGGGTTTCCGAAGCTAGCGAATTCAACGGCTGAGATCTTTTTAGTGCCTGAACATTTAAGAGTAGCCGTGAGACTAACGTTATCGGTTATGGCGTGGACTTGGTCTTGCTTCCTAGCCCAATGTCTAACACTTGGAGTGTAGTTTTCTCCAACATAAGAACAAACTGTGTCTCTGTTGACAATGACAAAGTCTATAAGCTCAGGCTTCACATTTGGCTCTTCCTCGAATATAACAAGAAGATTTTTCTTGGGCTTCAAGAAAGATCTAGGGATGTGATACTCTATTTGTGTAGGTTGACCTAATGGAGATAAGAACGATTGCCAATATCTTCCAACGCCTTCTCCGTTCACCCAAATCAAACCTTTTCCCATTCCACTCATGCGAATCGCCGCTGCGCTTTGGCTCTCAGGTGCATCGAAGTATGTCTACAATGTTTCACATTCATTATAATGTGTTTGGAGATGGTTATAAAGTTTCTACATTTGTTACCAATCACATTTATATATATAGTCTGATTTTTCAATTACCTGGTACCATGTAAGTCCTGATTGTTTTCCGGAGAATTTCTCCCATTTGATCTTCTTTGAACCTCCCACGGTGTGGATTGCGAGTCTTTCGCCTTCCATACCGACCTAAAGACCGAGAAACCCGGATCAAATCAAGGAGATGTATCCTCAATCTTGTGAATGAATTACAGAGACATTGAGAGAGATTAATTAACAAACCTTGTTCCCCCATTTGCTGCTTTCAGTGAGATCAAGTGTTCCAGAACTCAATCCTAAGATTGAAACACTACGAGGACCAGTGTATCGATGCTCCATGTAAGATCCACTGTCCTGTATAAACAACAACAAAAAAACCAACATTTCTTCATCTATATTCCAAGACTCATATTTTGAATTATGTTCTTCTTGTTACGTACTGGGAATCCTGTAAGAACACCAAGCATAACAAGATGATTCTCTCCTGCTTTTATTGTAACTGGTTTTTGGAAAACAAAGCTCTTCTCTTCATGGCTTCCATGTCCATTTCCTGGTAGAGAAAAACATCATCAATATATCTCATTTTCATGCTTTTAGATCATTTCTTGCACAAATTCTTACCAAGGTATTTTCCATTAAGCCAAACGTGCAACGCGTGTCCAAGACTAGCAATCCTCACAAGAGTCTTAACTCCTTTCTTAGGTAAGTGTTTCTCATGGACCTTGAAGCTGCAAAATCCAGAATTAAACTTCAAGATTCTCTTCTTCCATATATTTGATATAACACATGAAAATGAATCTTTACCTTGTTGTGTACCATCCATAGTCTGACTTATCTTGAGTCAAACCGTAAAGCTCAACGGGTACGTAAGAGTCACCTTCGAGTTTACTAGGCAATGTCTCAGTGAACACTTTGAAATTAAACTTCTTGTTCGCCTTTTTAGACTTCATAAAGTTCCTTGAAGTGTGTTGTGAAACAATCTGGTCCAATCCAAACAAACAAGAACACATTAAAGACTCTGTTATGTTCTTTCTTTTGCTTGAAGAAACCAAAATTTAATGTTTTCTTCACCTGTGCAGTGTTGTAAACAACAGTTTTACAATCTGGAAGAATACTAATGGAACGAGGCGCGATCACGTATTCTTTCCCCTTGAATTTAATGGTTTCTGCTGCTTCCGTGTTGTTGTTAGCCAAGAAAGCCGCGCAAGATTTCGTTCCAGGTTGTTCGTAGTATCGAATCTGTAGTTACAAACAAAAATATTAAATCCGTTTTAAACATTTTGGAATGTTTTTGGCAGTGTACATACCTCTGTATCTTTACTAGGCTTCTCGGTCTTAGGTTGACCCCAAAGAAGTGGTTTCTTGCAGAGGTTAAGAGCATTGTGAAGATGCTTAAGATGACCATACTTAGGCTCTCTCTCTAAACCATATTCATCAAGAGGTGCATCATCGTAGTATCGAGTGGTTACGTAATGTGCAGAGGTTCTTCCAAAGTTAGTCCCTCCATGGTACTACAAAATTATAAGCCCCATTTTTTGAGAATTTAAACAATCATTTTTGCAATATTTCAAAAGGCGGTTTATTCGAATGAGGGACATAATTATACCATGTAGTAGTTCACATGGCTTCCGTTCTTGGAGAAGAATCGAGCAACTGAAAAGGCGATATCTTCTACTGATCTCTGAGTTGGTGGATCACCAAACACGCGGAATCTGTTGAAGCAAATTTGCAAGATCTTTAACACTTCAAATTTCTACAATTTGTTTTAGTTATGAGTAGCAAAATGTAAAACTCACTGAGTAGTCCAGTTCTCAGTCCATAGAGATGGTTTGTTTTCTTTGTTTGGACCGGGGAAAGTATCACCACAATGTCTTCCATTACAAGCATTGATCTGTTTCCACATCAAAATTCTCATTGTTTTAACAACATTTTCTTCCATTTTTTAAGACAAAAACAAAAAACACAAGATGGATATGAGAAACTTAACCATAGGATCAGGAGCATCGTTCTGCTTGCACATAACCCATGGGATTCCAAGATTCATTGAGTGGACCAATTTAGATGCCCATTTAATGTAGTTTAATCCGTCTTGCTTATATGCGCGTTGTACCGCGCT